CCTCCAAAGAAGAAGTGTTCGTTCATAGAACAAACACGCTGTGCCACAGTCCTGTCATCACCTCCAATCTACCGTCGAGGAAACTGAGGCACAGAGACCCACAACTACCCTCAGGGCACCAGTCTAGCCCACGTAGTGGATGCCCCCCAAAATATGTCCAAGCCCTAACCCCCGGAACCTATGGATATGACTTTACTTAGAAAAAGGGTGTTTACAGACATAATTAAGGATCTAAGATAATCCTGGATTTAGGGTGGGCCCTAAATCCGGCAACAGGTGACCTTACAGTAAAAGGCACAGAGACACAGGGGGACAGCCCTGTGAAGACAGAGGCAGAGGCTGGATTTCTGTGGCCTCCAGCCAGCCAACGCCTGGAGTCACTGGAAGCTGGAAGAGGCAAGAAAGGATCCTCCTCTAGAGCCTGTGGAGCTAGTGTGGCCCAGCCGACACCTTGATTTTGGACTTCTGCCCATGAGCTATGAGAGAATACATTCCCGTTGGTTTAAGCCACCAAGTTTGTTACGGCAACCCTGGAAAACGAATACAACCAGCTTTGGCCAACTCCAGAACCCATACTTTCACACTAATACCTCACACTAATGTTACTTGAGCCTAAAGAGGAAAAAATTATTTCAGACCTCTGAGACTTTATCATCAGGGGTCTGAAATAATTTCAGACTGAGGCTCTCAGTTTGAGAAACATGGACTTTCTCCTCTTGACGATTGCTTCAGTTATGAATGACCTCTAAAAAGGGAAGTGTTCCCTTTGTAACTAGTAACAATTCCAAGTAGATCCACAAAACAAAAACACAAAAGTAAAAACTCTCCTGGAGAAACATGTAAAGAGAGGAGACTATCTGTAGAGTATATGAGAACGCTCTGTATTATCTTCCTAGTAATTCTATCAATCTAAAACTGTTCTAAAATCAAGTTTATTTACCAAAGATAAACCACCTCCCCTGGAACTCCTTTGCGGATCAGCCCTGGAACCCTAGTTTGAGAAACACTGCCCTTCTTTGTTCTGTATCCCATTAATGCGTGTTGAATGAATGGCCATGCTTGTGATCTGGGGGATCCTGCTGAGCTTAAGTGTCTTTCCTGAGCTCCGATGCCCACCGAGGATACCCTTCTTTCTCCTCATCTGATCCAAGAAGACCCAGCTCTGCCCCAGCAAAAAGAGGTGCGACGCTGGGGACAGACGCACAGCTCCTTTATTTTGGGTTTTCCAAGTAGAGGTGTGTAGAGAATCCTGTGTGGGAACCAACTGCTCCACACACTTCCCTTCAGAAAATCCCCGTTCCCGAAGTGGCAAAAAACTCACACAGGCCAAAGCCAGGAGAGGCCCCCTCAGTGACTCCACAGAGCATCAGTGCAAGAAACCCGAAGAGACCAAGCTGAGTGTAACAGAATAACAAAATGTGAAGGAGGAGGTACTTCCCTGGTGGTGCAGTGGTTAAGAATCTGCCTGCGAGGGACACGGGTTCGACACGGGTTCGATCCCTGGTCTGGGAAGATCCCACGTGCCGAGGAGCAACTAAGCCCGTGCGCTACAACTACTGAGCCTGTGCTCTAGAGTCAGCGAGCCACAACTGCTGAGCCCATGTGCCACAATTACTGAAGCCCGCGCGCCTAGAGCCCAGCACTCTGCAACAAGAGAAGCCACCGCAATGAGAAGCCCGCGCACTGAAACTAAGAGTAGCCCCCGCTCACCACAACTAGAGAAACCCGACGCGTAGCAATGAAGACCCAACACTGCCAACAATTAATTAATTAATTAATTATTTTAAAAATGTGAAGGAGGAATCGTGACCAGAGAGAACTGATAAGAAAGAGTAACAAGAGAAAGAAAAAGGATGAACTACAAAGACGCGAGGTCCTTGGCAAACACATTTGTGATTTTTTTTTTCCACCTTAATGTCAGTTTTGAAACTAGCTTCAGAAAATGTAACCAGCTTCTCACATCCCCATAAAGGAAGATCGGAGGTCCGTGGCCAGGAAGGAGTCCGTGTTACCTCTTACTTCGGAGCTGGGCATCCAGATAAGGGCCCTCCCCGTCCACGTTTCCACGAGGCGCACACACAGCAGCTCGCACCACCCTCGCAGGACCCCTCTCCCCAGATCTAGAAGTTTCCCACTCGGGGGTCCGGAACGCCAAGCCCTCCAGATGAGTGGCACAGGGTGCTCCAGGTCCCTCCAGACTGGGCACCACTTTCCAACCGTCCTTGGCAGTCCATAGGGTCCCCTGAGATAGCCAGAGGCTGCCCACACCCCTCCCTCCTCCCCGCTAGAGCGGCCACACCCGCCCACAGACTCCCACCTCTCCCACGCCCAGGCCCCCTCCCCTCCCACCCAGCCCCCCCCACCCCCGGCTTCCTCCGAATTCTTACTTTGCACTCTCGGCCCCCCACTTCCTGCCCACCCCCTCCCAATCTCAGGGCCCTCACTACTCCCCCATTTCCCGCTCGGGGCACCTCACCTCTGGCCACCACTCACGCCCTCTTTTCTCTTTCTGCCCCTTTGACACCGATTCCTCCACACCCCTCACTCGGGGGCCCCTCACATCCAGCCCCCTCGGCCCGGCCCCACGGAGCCCATACCAGGCCCCCAAGGATCAGGGCCCCTCACCCTCGGGACCCCGGTCCCCTCACCGCGGCTGCGTCCGGTCCACCCCGGGCCCCCCGCCCGTCCGGCCTCGTGCGCAGCCCCCGCGCGCAGCCCGGCCCTCGGCCCGGCCCTGGGGCCCCGCACTCACGGCTGTAGAGGGCGATGCCCGCCGCGTCCGGGCCGGCGCGCACCTCGAGGCGCAGCGCCTGCTGCTCCGCGTGCCGCTGGATCTCGCCGTTCGCGTCGCCGATGGTGAGGAGGCGGGCGCCGGGGAACACGGACACTGCCCCGCAGGGCCCCGTGACACCCGGGCCGGCCGCCCCTGCGCCGCCCACGCCCGGCCCCGCCGCCGCCGCCGCCGCCGTTCCTGCCATCTTAGATCCGGCTCCAGGCCCCGCCGCCGCCGCCGCGCCCGGGCCCAGGCCGCCGCCGC